ACTCTTGCTTTCATGCAATATATAAAAGGAGGGAAGGAAGCATGAATTTTATATTTTAGATATCTCATTTCTTTGTGGGTCTGTCTACCCAGTAAAGAGAGACCTATGGCTCTCCAGGACAGCTGACTCAGGCTTCTGGGTCTTGGGCTGTGGGGCTGTTTCACTGCTGTTTAAACTCCTGTGCTTGGGTCCAAACCTGAAAGTAGCCCCACAGCCTGAGCCAAGTCAGACAGCATGGACTAGCCCTGGATTTTTCTTTGCTGTGAGGACTATGGATGTAAGCCTAGGCTTATCGGGTAGTTGAGTCACTACTCAACTAGTCACTTTCCTCCCCCTCCCCTTACTGCCTCTGTACCAGAGGTGGGGGGAGAAGGGGAAGAGGAGCCAGCGTTACATAAGAACATATAACAGCCATACTGGGTCAGACCAACGGTCCATCTAGCCCAGTATCTGGTCTGCCAGCAGTGGCCAATAACAGATGCCCCAGATGGAGAGAACAGAACTGGTAATCATCACATGAGCCCTCCTCTGCTCAATGCCAGATGCCCCCGTGGGAGTGAACACAGCAGGTAATCATGTGATCCCTCTCCTGTCATCCATTTCCAGAGAATCAGAGGTTAGGGACACATGGCTAATAGCCATTCATGGACCTAACCTCCATGAATTTTTTTTTTTTTTTTTTTTAACTGTGTTAAAGTCCTAGACTTCACAATCTCCTCTGGCAAGGAGTTCCACAGGTAGACTGTGTGCTGAGTGAAGAAAAACTTCCTTTTGTTTGTTAAACCTGCTGCCTCTTAATTTCATTTGGTGACCCCTAGTTCTTATATTGTGCGAGTAAGTAAATAACTTTTCCTTATTTTTTTTCCACACCAGTCATAATTATATAGATCTCTATTGTATTCCCCCTTAGTCTACTCTTTGCTAAGATGAAAAGTCCACGTCTTTTTAGTCTCTCCATCTACGTGGGGGGTGGGGGAGGAGAGGGCTTGGAGTTAGAGGCAAAGCAGGGGAAACAGCGTGAGCCGGGACTGAGCAATTGCGCTGGGGTCTCAAACACTGTGGCTCTACTTTTTAAATGTAATAAAAGGCCGGGCTCTTACTACATTTAAAAAACAGAGCCCCAGCAAAACCCCCTTATTGACAAATGAAGTAGTTAATGGAAATTCAATCGACTACTCGAATAGCCTCCTAACTGCTATTTAACATCCCTAATGAAGCAACCCAATATAAATAAATTGGGGTACAGCTTTCTAAGAACCAAATTACTGTCTTCATATGGTGTGCCATCCTGGATGACAGAATGTCATCAGTGTCCTCATGCTGCCCTCTGCCTCTGACCTCAGCTGCTTGCTGTGGCCAGCCTCTGTGCCAATGTTCCCTCAAGTGGCGCAGCAGCATAGTTACAGAGGTGGTTACTCAGCCCTGCCCAGTCAGAGGCTTGTGTGCAGGGATCTGATTGACTGGGAGGGACTGATTAATCATCTGTGTTGCTGCGCCACTTGGAGGGAACACTGCTCTGCACTGTTCCTCTGGGCATGGGCCTCTCTAGCTCTGGCTGCTGCTTCACATCCAGGGGGCTGTTGCTGCCAGGGAGGAGCTGCTGGGTCTGGGTCTCCTCCATTACCTGAGCCTCTCCTTCCTCCCCCCTGCCCATGCCGGGTCCTTCTACCATCCCAGCCCGACCTCTGCCCACTTCCACTGAGACCCCCCCCCCTCCATCTCCCCCGCATTCTCGGCCTGCTCCTGCCTCCTCCTTCCAGCCAGACAATGTGCCCCCCCGGGGGGGCGGGGGGGGAGGTTGGTGAGTGTAGTGAGCAGGGAGTGAAGCCCCTTAACATTTTATTTTTGTTCATATGTGTGTGCTTTGAGAATGCACAATTACAATAAGTTGGGAATGTCTAGAAAAGATTGAGAATTGTAATGACAAATAGCCCTCCATTTCTGAACTAATTGGAGCAAGTATCTTCTGTTAGTGCTGTTTCAGATCAGTTACCATGTTGCCACCATGACACTAATATCTGGATTCTGTCCATAGAAATAGTGCAGACAAGGAGGAAACAAAATCTGACTTTCATGCAGTTTGTCTCCTTTTTCAGGATACTGTAATCAGGTTAACAAAAGCTCTGTCCCAAGAACCGGATGTACTTCGAAGCAGTGATTCTTCCCTCTCTCAGAATGTACTGGATTTGCATTTTGAAGACAATAAAAAGTCATTGGGAACTATCCTCTCCAGCTTACCTGGTGCACGTTTAAAAAGAAAGCTGTCCAGTGACTTCAGGGATTTACAAAGCTTGGATGTCCCTAATAAGATTCCTAAAAAAGGTCTGTTCTGTTGGGGGGGGGAGGGGGGCGGGGCAGGAAGGGAAGAGGGAGGTTTGGCACTATTCTTAAAATAGATAAGAAAATGACATTACTTCATTACTGTTGGTAGGTAAAACTTGGTGACAGAGAGCACTTTCCTTTTAGTGCCTAGCAAAGTTATGAATTTAAGCTCCCAGTTTCATCTTTTGGAGGGTGTTGTGTAGCTTTCCTCTGAGGTTGAGGTCAGACATAGAGTAATCGCCTTAGTGCAAAGTGTCTGCCCCTTTTCACAAGTGGGGTGTGTTCACAAGTGGGGTGTGTATCTTTTGTGTGTGAGGTCACTCAAGGCCATAGCAGGGAGCTTGCATCTGAGTTTAGTGTGCGGAGGAGGCGGGAAGTTGTTTGAAGACTAGAAGAGGGAAGATTTTTCAGGGTGGGATTCCTGTGGGCTATGGGTTGTAATTGTTTGATACCCTGTAGTGTGGGTGCTGGTGACAAGTTGAGGGGTGGGTGTGTGTGGTCAGAAGGTTACATGGCTACAACATGACTTCAGACAACTAGGGATGTAAAAGACTAGTTAAAAATGTAACCATTAAATCCTACCATTTACAATTGCTTCAGGCTCTGCAGTGTAAAGCTTATACTGCAAAGCCCATAGTGTAGCCAGATATGTCCCCAGATTAGAGCCAGCAAAAGGAATGGAAGGGGGTATCAACTAGTCAAAAGACTATCCGATAAGAAAATCCTCTTTTGACACTTTAGTGTAGTCTAGATGAGCCCTAATAGCTTATCTCTTGTTCTGCTGATGACCGGAGTACTGGAGTTATTAGGCCTCTGAGGTATAGCTAGACTTCAGTCATCTCTTTTTACATGAAATAGATGCACAAGTAAGCCTAACGGGGAGCTAATTTGCATAGAGTCCTAGGTTAGCCCTGGTCTACTCTAGGGAGTTATTTCGAAATAGCCCCCCTTATTTCTAAATAACAAGTGGAGCATCCACATTACCAAGCCTGTTACTTTGAAATGAGGGGCTGGTTATTTTAAAATAACAACTCTTGCTTTCCTTGGAGAATAAGCTTATATCAAAATAGTTATTTCAGGAGTTATTTCAAATGTAGTTATTTTGAAATAATTTCCTGTTACAGACATGGCCTTGGTGTCTATCTTCCACAGAGTACTTTTAAAGGAGCACTCGCCCTTTCCATTCTGCCATTTGATATCTATATAAGCACTTGGTGTGCATTTAACTTTAACATTAGATCTCTACAGGGTTTATCAGTGTGAAGGAATGCTAGATGGGAGTCATGTGCTATATAGTGAAATAATTGGTTAATGGATGTTTTAAAAATCTCTGTTGTGAAACAATGAATGGTAATACCAAATCTTGAAGGTTAGAAATCTGCCCTGAAACCTACACAAGAATATCGCTGTCTGTTTCCACCTCTCCACCCAAAACACATTTCCTCTGATTTAATAGGAATACCCTTCCACCTTGTTGTGATAGGATAACTCCTTCGGAGTGACCTGTGAACTGCAAACCCTCCCATTAGGGGGGGGGGGGGGGGGGTCTATCCTTCCCCTACCTTCACAGTAAGGGATTTAGAGCCATTTCACACTTCAGCTATCAATTTAAGGTTCACACAAGATATGATGCCACCTTACTGTCTGCTGAATAGCCCGTTAGGGTCTTGCTGTTAGTCAGGGACTCCTATTCCAGGTATAGGTTAAAGGTAAACCTTTTTCCATGGAAAAATGAGCAGTCTTTTGGCCATGGGACCCCAATGCTCTCCTCCCCTACTGTATATTTGATACATTCCAGAAGGCTGTGTACAGGTTATTCTATAACAAATAAAGAGGAAAACCTTAATTTTTCATGTGGCGTCTGTCTTCAACCACTAGAAGGTAGGAGGGCAGTTACCGATGGTATTGGAACTTTTGCTTCGTATTTCTAGACTTTCTACTGCTTAAGCTTTTTGAACTACTATATTAAAATGACCTGAAAAAAGATGCTGTTCCTTCAGTGAGTTGTGCACAGATGAAGGAATCTTCGTGCGGAGAGCTTATTGTAGGTTCAGACATTGTAAGTGCCAGAGTAACCATAATGGAGCTTGCACTGCTACGGAGCTTCTGGGTACAAACAACTGTTAGAAATATTCTCTGTGGGAGACAAAACTTGCTTGTGTATTTTTGGGGCATGTGTATGTTTAAATCCAAGAATTTAGGAGTCTTAGACTTAGGCTGAACCTGTGAATTTAGTAATGTCTCTTCAGGCTTCTGCATTTAAATACTTAGCCTGCTTAATATAGTTACAGAGCTTAATGCTGCAGGCTGTGCTTTAAGTTTAAAGTTCTTGGAAATAGGAATTCAGCTATACAGAACATACCAGCAAAGCAGACTATGCTAGAAGCTCACTAACTCTGTTCACTCTTATACACAGTGCCTACCCTTGAGAATCTAAACATTATTGCAACATTGAAGTTCTCAAATTCAAATGTTAGCAAATTTAACCTTTGGTTTCTTCCCCTCCCTACCTCCCGCCCCC